GTGAGATCCTGAACTGATCTCAGGTCATTGAGAGTCAAATGCTTAACTGACTGAGCCACCCAGTCAGGCTATACATATAGTTGCCCCATACGTATTGTTTTATGATGCTTTTTTTTCATTTAACATTCTATTGTGGGCATCTCAACAATCACTTAGAATAAATCTATAGCTTCATTTTTAAGGATTCCATTGTATTTCATTATACCAATTCATTTAACCAGTCCCTTGTTGATGGACATTCAGGTTTTTTTCCAGTTCTTTGATATGATAAACACTGCTTCAGTAACATCATTTTATATGCAAGCTTTTGGCCATACTTGATATTTCCTTAAAATAAAAACCTAGGAGTGCAGTTAATGGTTCAAGAGTCACAGAGTGCAAATTCTGATAAGCTGGCCCTTAGCAAGATGGTATCTGTCCAGCTGTGCACGGGAAAGGAGATGTGTTCACCTGAGTGCACCCTGGGTATTTTTTTCCAACCTCTGCTAAAGTGATAAGTGAAACCAGTTTCTCATTGTTTTCATCTCTATTTCTTTGACTATTTATGAAATTTAACTCATTTTCATGTTTCTTGGCCATTTGACATCAACATTTTAACTAATATTTGCAAAACTGAAACCACAGCCACTTTTTTTAAGGCAGACATATTGAAAAATATTAAGAACCAATAATGTTCAATATTGAGGTTTTTATTACACAAAGTGCTCTGACAAATGCACAAAGGAGTAGAAAAATTATGGTTAATAACACAAACATATGGGTAAAGGTTCAAATCCCAGCTCTGCCACTTACACCCTGTGTGACCTTGCCAGGTTGCTTAAATCCTCTGAGCCTCAGATGATTAAAAATGGGCATTAAAATGGGCACAACGTTTCAGGATGGTGGGAAGGAACAAAGGAGGCTGTATGAGAAGCACGTGACCCAATGAGTGATCAACAAATGGTTGTTTTTATTAATAGGGAGACACTGAAACCCTCCAAAAAATTAATGGACAAAGGATATGAACTAGAAGTCACAAGTAGGAAACACAGCCAATAAATAAGCACATGGGAAAATGTTTATCTCCTTTAATAATACAGGAAATGCTAATTAACACAAGGTGCCACCTTCCCCCTCTTGAAATTACCAAAAACATTTTCAGGGATAATTCCTGATGCAGAGGAAGGTGTGGTCAAACTGAGCTGCCCACATTTTGGCGGTTGTGTAATTCTTACCACGTTTGTGGAAAGCAATTTGGCAATATGTATCATCATGCAAACATGTTCACAACCTTTGACCTAGACATTTCCTAAGGAAGTAATTCAAAATATGGAAAAAGCTATCTGTACAATGATGCTTATGCCAGCATTGTTTACAATGGCGAGAAGAGCACGGTTTCTGTTTACATAAAGGGTAAAACCATAGTAAAAAAATACACACGGGGCGCGGGGGGTGGGGGCGGTGTCAGGCCTTTTTGGTGAAGTAGTGTAATTTCTCTGTGTTAAAAAGGGACATATAGACACTTTAAGCCTCTAAGTGATTTCTAAATCTCATTTTAATTCAGTTTAATGCATTTCTTTGGAATAGCTTTTAAACCTCTACTAACAGTGGTCAGATTGATGGATTTAAGTATCTTCTTAAATCTGTTCATCCCCTGGTGGAGCTTGGGGTCATTTGAAACTAAGGAAAGAAAAAAAGGGGGTGCAGGGGAAGTATTCTCTCATCTGTAAACTAGATTTTCAAATGTTTGGAGAAGGAAAGAAACCAAGCCAGTGTTGCAGCCTTCTTTCTCTGAGCCCCAGGCCATTACAACACAGACCCCATCGAGGGAGTGAGAAATCAGAACTGAAGGAGTCCTGGAGTGGTGAGTTTGGCTGCCTCTGTGTGTGAGCAGCGGAGGGATGAGTCACTTCCTCAGTCACATCCACATCTGTCTGTGCTTTGTGGTGCAGAAGAACCCCAACAACACCTCAGGAAGGCCCAGTCGTGCAGAGACAGCCAGTCCAAGCTGTGCCTGTAGCCACCTGGTCTTTGAATGGTGAGGGCTTCTCGCTGCTAAATTCCCAGGGTGGGTGGGAGCCGGTGCTGGTATAATAGCTCCAGTGAGAGTGGGCGTCAACTACTGGAACAGGTGCCAGAAGCCACTGGCCAAGTTACAGAATCACAGATCTCAGGGCTGGGCATGCCCAGCCTCCCTCCTGATTCACAAACCCTTCTAGCAGTGGCTCGAGTGAGGAGAGCATCAGAGTCATTGGGGAGATTTTTTGATCATGCACATGCCTCAACCTCACCTAGTTATCAGACTCACCAGGGCTGGAGCCCTAGTAGGAATACTTTTTTTTTTTTTTTTTAATTTTTTTTTCAACGTTTATTTATTTTTGGGACAGAGAGAGACAGAGCATGAACGGGGAAGGGGCAGAGAGAGAGGGAGACACAGAATCGGAAACAGGCTCCAGGCTCTGAGCCATCAGCCCAGAGCCCGACGCGGGGCACTCCCGGACCGCGAGATCGTGACCCGGCTGAAGTGGGACGCTTAACCGACTGCGCCACCCAGGCGCCCCTAGTAGGATTACTTTTAAATCTGCTCAAGATTCTCCTAAGTTCCCTTGGTTAAGAATCAGGGCTGCGGAACACGAAGGGTGGTTTGTCCTGTAGGCTGCATTTGAACATTATCCACACGGGAGATTATTGGGCACCATTATATAGCAACTTCTCATGATGAGTGAAAATCTTCCCTGTCCTTCCCTCTGTCCCCAGTCCCACTGGAAATAAGCCTAATCCCATGTATAGGGGTTTACTTCTCCCCATTCTTCAGCAAGAAATCTGGAGGTTACAAGCTGTAATTGTGCAAAAAAAAAAAAAAAAAAAAAAGCTATAGATGTAAAATCCTAAGGAGAAATCCTTCGTGTTCTTAAAACTTTCTTTGGCTCAACTGTTAGGCCATATGGATTCAAAATCCTTTATTTGAAGCTTCTATCAGTTAGTGAGAGGCACCAACTCCAAGCTCAGGAGGCACTGTGGACTTCTGCCAAAGCCTGGCTAATTTACCTTCCAAAGGTCAAGAGTCAAGGAGGGAGGAGCAACCATTCCTTGTGGTTTAGCAACCACTATTACATGTACATAATAAGCTCTAATGGAAGCAGATGACAAGGTCTGAAGTTAGAAAGCATTCCGCCACGGGAATGGGCACTTGTCTAAGTGTTCTACTGAGTTTCCGCCCCCTGAAAAAGGAAACAGCATGCTGTTTGTGCTAAATATGACCATGCGTCATCTGGTGTGGACCATTATTTTAACTGGCATGCCAGTCATCAGCTTTGACCCTCCTTTTAAATATAGGAGGCAATAGTGATGCCTACTCCCTGAGTCACCGCAGGCCCACTATTTTTATTTATTGAGTTAAACCTAGGTTTTGGGATTTTTTTTTAGATTTTATTAAGTATAATAAAGATAGTTTGACATTTAAAAAACATTCTGATGAAGGATTCAAGGTACTAAATGTTTGTCTTTCAAATTCCTAGTCTAGAACTTGACACTCTTTACATACCAAGTCAAGGACCAATGTCCCAGACTAAATTTTCTGTTTTATCATGGACAAGAGGGAAGGAAAAACACAACCAAGTGCGAAATCAGATCTAACAATGCATCTAACGCTGGGGTGTGAAGTGGAGATACACATGATTTATAAATTGAAATCTTGTTAAACTACCTAATACTCCGAGGAATTAATTGAACAAAGGGCTATATATACTCTTTGCTCTTCTAAAAGATTTGATATCTCTCAGACAAGACATGTGCTTTATGAAGCTAGCTGACCTTTGAGGGATATTTTTATATATATGCAGATCAATGGTCTATATGCTACATATAAAATGCAAATCCCTTTGTGTTATGTCTGATGCAGGATTTGGGATTTAAGAGTCCACTTTAGCTACTCAGTCTTCTTGGAAAACTGTCTTCTCAAGTAGAATTGCCCTTAGCTCTTATGGTTGGCAAGAAGATTTTAAGCGCACAAAGAAGTTTAAAAGAGGCAGAAAAAGAAAGTCATGTGTTAGACTGAACTCACTTGAAAGAGATCCAAGTTTTCCACTTTGGAGAGCAGATGTTCAAATGCCCCAAAGGGGGAGGGTGGAGACAGAAAATGAGGTGTGAGAAAATATGTGACTCAGGAGGAGAGCATGTTTTTCCAAGGAGAGGGGAAGGGCCCAGCTCATCAGCCCCCAACCCCACCAACTCCAGAGCACAGTGGCTCTCTCCACGGAAGGCAGGCCTAGGCATAGGCCTAGGCATAGCTGGGTGTGCTGTATTTGCCAAGCAACTCCTAGGGCTCTCACCCCATCCTCGAGGGGATCAGCCTCATTTCTCACCAGCCACGTGCAGCAGATCTTGGGCACAGTGCCTTCCACACTAAGAATGAACCACTTTCCCGGAGGGGCTATTACCATATCGCTGGGGCTGAGCAAGGGCTTTGTTAAGAATTGTGATTAACTAGAATTCCTTTGAAGGGGTTAGGATTTCTGTGAAGAAGGCAGGCAGAAGCTACAGCCAAGTCAGAGGGTGTCCTGGTAACTGACAATTGTAAGGCATCTTTCTGATGCCCCCTGGTGGCCTTGTACAGCTAAAGTTAACCCTACCTGCTCCCTTAGCTTTTAGCCCCATACACACCGGACAAAATCCACCTTGCTGGGCTTTTTAGACACATTCAGCGTATACTTATGGAGCCAAAGCCACGGGACCTAGTACTGCCATGTGGCACATCTTCTTCCCCTGATAAGAAGTGAATTTGAGGGGTGCCTGGGTAGCTCAGTCAGTTCAGTGTCTAACTCTTGATTTGGCTCTGGTCATGATCTCACAGTTTGTGAGATCGAGCCCCATGTTGGGCACTGCACTGAGCGTAGAGCCTGCTTAAGATTCTCTCTCTCTCTCTCTCTCTCTCTCTCTCCCTCTCCCCTACTCATATGCGCACTCTCTCACTAAAATTAAAAAAAAAAATCATTTAAAAAGAATTGAATTTGAGACATGAGTATGAAGAAAACTCCAAATATAATTCCATACTTCAAATTTCTATATTGCATATGTGTGCATGATAATTAGATATTATCCTCTGGGGAACAAACCAGATTTACTTTCAACATCTGGTAGACCTGTTCTTACCAGGCCAAGTTGTCGCTGGGTGCAGTTTCTTATAGGGAAGCTCTCAGAAAGGCAGGCAGAAGGGATCTCTGTGTGGAGGACAACATGCCACGCCCGTATCATCCCAGTCTCTGACACAAGAAATTTAACATTTCAGTTTTACCGATACTCTCATGATCTCTATTAGAAGTATGTTAATAAAAATAAATAAATAAATAAATAAAAAATAAATAAAAAAATAAAAAAGAAGAAGTATGTTAAATGTTTATTGGATCTTATGCATCTTTTTTTAGGAAGGAAAATATGGAGAAAAAAGGGCACAGAAGGCCCAGCTGTGGAAGGTGTCCCACTGACCTTCAAGAAAAGGCACTGCACGCAGACTCAATTCTCGGTAAGTTAAGGGGCCTGGTGCTGTGGGTGCTCTGTCTTCAAGGTCCCTCTCCAGGGGTCTGCCCACTGCAGGCAGACCATCTGCCACACCAAATAGCATTACCCAGATTAGGGTGTTACATGTTGTGTTTTTTTGCAAACCGTAAAAAATTAACAATTAAATAGATTCAAACAGATCAAGTGTGGTCAGAGAGTGCGAAAGTGCCCACCTCTGTTTGTGCGGGAGCCACAGGACTCCATGCACTCAGTCGTGCAGTGGCCTCAGTTCTATGTGTCATCCTTGCAGCACGATCCATAATCTGCACCTGGTGAGCTCACAGGACGTGGGAGAGTTGCTGCCGACTTGTCCATAACATTTCTCAGAAGCAAAGAAAACGAGATCTGGGAGGGGACCTGGAGAGCACCAGGGCATAGAATTCAATGATTTTTAGTCATAGGAGCCTTCCTCCAAAGGTAGTTTAAGCAGAAAAGCATCCCTGGCAGAACCGCCCTGGGTGAGGAAGAGGTGAGGCCAAGGCCTGCCTGTTCAGGCAGTTCCTGAGCATGAAAATCACCACCTGAGCCTAGGCTACCCTGTTTCTACGTGAGAAACCAGGTCCGGAGAGCTAACGAGGCTTGTTTACATTCATACAAGCTGTTAGTCAAGAGCCTTTCCTTCAAGTCAGTATTTTTTTGCTATGTCACATGGAGTTCTACTTCTTCCCTGCAGACGACTCATTTTTTTTTTTTTTTTACTTTTTAAATGTTTATTTTTGAGAGACAGAGAGACAGAGAGTGAGCAGGAGAGGGGCGGAGAGAGAGGGAGACACAGAATCCAAAGCAGGCTTTAGGCTCTAAGCTGTTAGCACAGAGCCGATGCTGGGCCTGAACCCATGAACCATGAGATCATGACCTGAGCCAAAGTCAGATGCTTAACTGACTGAGCCACCCAGGCGCCCACCTCCCTTTTTAAAATTTTTTAAATGTTTACTTATTTTTGAGAGAGAGAGAGTGAGAGTGAGAGCATGAGTGGGGGATGGGCAGAGAGAGAGAGGGAGACATGGAATATGAAGCAGGCTCCATGTTCTGAGCTGTCAACACAGAGCTCGACACCCAGGCTCAAAATCATGAATCGAGAGATCATGACCTGAGCCAAAGTTGGCCACTTAACCGACTGAACCACCCAGGCACCCAGATGATTCATTTTCTGATGGTAATAGTAATGTTTCATTGACTGAACACCTACTATATCAGATGCTGTCACAGAGCTTTCAGAATGTGATCAGAAGACCCTTGGGGGTCCCTGAGACCCTTTCAGGGGACCACGAGGTCCTCTCTTTCCCAGCTACATATCTGTGCAAAGCCAATACTGAAGGAGATTGAATGGAGGTGCAGCTATGTAATCCAGCTGCCTTCTATTAAGCCAGATATTCAAGACACTTGCCCAAACATAAAATACTGCCTCTTCTAATACTCTTCATTAAAAAAAAAAACAAAAAAAAAAACCTCTTTGCATTAAAAACCTGTTATTTGGTGGGGGGGCGGGTAAAAAAAAAAAAAAAGAAAAAAAAACAAAAAACAAAAACCTGTTATTTGGTGAGCATAAAATGAATTACTGTTGGTTTTAAATGACATAATAAATAAAATATTTTTAAATGCCTCAGTTTAAAATTCTATTAAAAAAAAAAAGCCTTGGGGTGGCTGGGTGGCTCAGTCAGTTAAGCATCTGACTCTTAATCTCAGTTCAGGTCTTCATCTAAGGGTCATGAGTTCAAGCCCTGCGTTGAGCTCCACACCCAGCATGGAGCGTACTTAAAAAATAATAATAATAAAAATAGATAAAGAAAAAAAACTTAAAGCCCTAGGACTGTCCATTCAGTCTTGGGAAAATTTGAATGATTCTGCACAAGCAAAAATGACTTGAAATTTATAAACACGTACCTCTATACCAGTCCATCATCAACTGACTGTTGTATAATAGCTCTTCTCCAATACAGGGGGAGATTTTTCACCACAGGTATAAAACAGGGTGCATATTATGATATATGATAGATAAAAACTGTAATAAGCAGAAGCTCTTTAAGGTCCTCAATTTTAAGAATGTAAAAGGGTTCTGAAAGAAAAAACAATTGAGAACTGCTGACATAGTGTATAACATTTAGCTATCCTTATACCCCTGTAAGTAGGAATTATGATTTTTATTTTGCAGATAAGGAAATGGAGACTCAAAGAAATTTAATGACTTGCCAGTCAAAGAGCAGTTGTATTATCTACTGCTGTGTAATGCAGTATCCCAAAACTTAATGGTTCAAAACAAAAAACATTTTCTATCTCATAATTCCTATGGGTCAGGAATTTGGGGGCAGCTTAGCTGGGTGAATCAGGCTCAGGTTCTCTCATGAGGCTATGGTCAAGATGTTGGCCAATACTGTCATCATATGAAGGCTTGACTGGACTGGAGAATCTGCTTCTAAGATGGTTCACTCACGTGGCCATTGGCAGGAGGTCTTAGTTCCTCATCATGTGGGCATTTCCAATAGGTTGCTTGAGTATCATTATGACATGGCAGCCAAGTGATCTAGGTCTTTTATGACCTAGTTTTGGAAGTTATACACCATCACTACCACTTTATCTGTGAGAAGCAAGTCACTAAGTCCAGTCCACACTCAAGGAGAGTGGAATTACGCTATACCTTTTGAAGAAGATATAAAAGAATTTGTGGACATATTTTCAACCATCACAGCTAACTAGCGGTAGACCCAGACTGCAAACTCAGGTCTGTCTGAACCTCATGCTATTGTAATTTCCTTGAGCTCTGGATTGAGAAGGAATTCAATGACTACTGACTGAGATTTGGGGGGGTGGGGTGGGAAAACCATCCCTAGAGCTCATTCCATTTATGACTTACTCTTTGAAAGATAACGTTACAAAGGAGCGTAATCACGAGAGAAGCAAGGCAGGTAGCCCTGACAGATGCTCTGTCACTCGGCCTCATCTCTCCTGGAACTGAGATGTTGTTTGAACACCCAAGCCTGTGTGCTCACCTATCCAGCACAGGATCTCATGTTCTGGTCTTATCTGGAAGTCTCCACTGCCCACAGCCTGCCAGGTTCTAGACCGGTACCACACACACACACTCTCTATTACTAGCCCCTCTTTGGCAGAGATGAGGGCAAAGCTATAATTCAGTTTCCCATATCAGCTCATGAAGTTGATGTAGAGTAAAACCATCTTTTCAATTGTCTGGATGACAAAACACAAGTTCTTGGCCAAAACAGGGTCTGAGAAGAGAATGTGGGTGTGTCGGGGCAAATCTGGAAAAATACCAATCTTGCGTTTGTAGTTAATTCAGGGGGTCAAATTCTCACAGATCCATCAGTTCAGCAGGCCTTCACTAAACACCTACATGTGCTAGGAAAACCTTGAGACTTTCCTATCAGATTTGTTACTTCTGAAAACATCTCTCAGTTGTCATAAGGGGATTCCAAATGTCATCCTGAGGCTGGTGACTCCCCTTGGTAATGCAGCTGGGGAAGTTGAACACTTCTGCACCTAATGCATACCTCCCGTGGTCAGAGCTCTACTTTCCACACACTCTATGACTATAATGAAGAAACTCACCTGTCCTTTGTGTAACTTGGGATTTTTCAGGTTCTGATACAGGCCACAGCTGCTATTCTGCTCCTGGGACCGGACTACTGAGTGATAAATGTCAGAACTGCGGCACTAAGAGTCATAATTCTGGAAGAACCTGTGGCAAAAAACCACCTGAAGGTGAGTGAGACTTAGGGGCCTTAGAAGGAAGGCATAAGTGGGGACAGCTGTTGTTCCCAGGCAGTGAGTTGTATTTCTCTTTTTTTTTTAGAATTTCATTATAGATACAACACCCCAGGAGAGAATTACTTATATCATAGTGAAAGAAGCAACTTTGTCCAGCTCTGCTTTTTAAATGAAAATAAAAATTCTTCATCTTGTAAGTACATCTGCTGCATGATCTCATCTTTGTAAACAACCTGGTCTCCCAGGCGTGGGGGACCCACATCACACCAGCCACTGCTTCTGTTTGGGGAGGCCCTGCCCTCTCCAGTGTGCTGTCTGGATCTCTAGTACTCATCTGACACTCCCACATCCTGGATGGCAAAAGGCTGGGCCAGGGCTGGGAGATAAGAAATCCTAGCAATAAAGGACTCTAAAAGTTTTTAAGGGCTAACTCAGTGTAAGTTGGTAACAAATTGCAAATATTTGCTAAACAAATGACCAACTAAATAATTGCCACTATTATTGCTATTCAGGAGTAGTCAAAACTTTACATATATCCCTACTGAAAGCATGTAAAGTAATAGACTATTTTTACACTCCTTAAACATCATATTGCTAATTTCAATTAGCAATTTGGAAAAAACTAAAATCCCACACTTATTTATAAAGATGAATAAAACATGCCCCCACCCAAGGAGTTCACAATCTCTTAAGAGGAACTCATACCCAAATAAGGAAAGTTCATGGCAAAATGTGGTGCTAGAATTAACAAAGTCAGAGTGTGCTAAGGGAACAAAAAGGGAGGGAAGGACATGTTCCTTGTTGTGCTTCTGAATGACAGTCATATCTGGTTCTTCGACATCCTCTCCTTGTGGGAAAGTTCATACCTCCAGAGCTCTTTCTCTCCTGAGTGACAAGGCGTCAGGGAGAATGTTTCTTATCTTTCACAACTGCCAATTTCCAAGACGAAAGAATGCCATTTACCTGATTGAACTCAGCTGGCGAGTCCCCTACACTGCCATCCCCCAGCTGCTAAATCCTCCAACCGGATGTATTCTCTCAAGATGACAGCCACTAAAACTGCAGAAGCAACAGGGCTAATTTCTTTATCATCTCCCTGGCCTTTGAGTCTATAGCCCATGGGACTTGTTGTTCTGATATATGAGGGCATGAGGGAATCAACTATGTCATCTGAAGTGTGACCTTGAACTACATTAGTAAATGTATAGTGGCTAAGAGGGTAGATTCATAGGGAGGCATATTTGCTCAATGTTGAAAAGAACCTTTCAGAAACTGGAGTGGAGTGGGCTGTTGTAGGAGGACATGAGCCCCATCTGTAGAGATGTCTCTACAGATCCCATCCAGAGCCAATGTACTTTGTCAGGATGTTGCAAATCTGTGGACTGGACTAGAATCAGAACTGATGACGCTATGGTCCTTCCCAACTCTGAGTTTCTATGTTTCAAATAAAATCCAAAATTATATTTGGAGACTAGCAAAGGATTAAGACTGAACTCATTTGTGCCTCTGCTCATCAGGACTTACGTTTGGGTGGTCAGCATGATTAATTTGGACTTTCTAGCTTCTACCTTCCATGTCTTAGGGACAGTATTTCCCAGATGGCTTGTTAAATGGGACCCTCCTGAAGGGGAGTGAAACCTAGCTACCAGAGACTGATGAATAAGATAGAAGACGTGGAAGGAGACCCAGCAACAGAGAAGGCAGATTTATTGGCTGTTGGCCATTGACTCTTCTCCTTTCCTTTCCCTGGCTTTATTATTGTCTTCCATGGTGGCTTTCTTACATTGATCTTCTCTGTTTAGTCTCTATTTTCTGGAGTTGTCTTAGCAACATAATTTAGTTTTTGACTCCCCAGAATCCTTGCACCTGAATTTGAAGACTTCCAGGAATCCATTTGATCCATGCTCTTGAAAGGGATTATCCCTCCACTTGTCAGATGAAGTAGCTGAGTCCACAGAAGTTGGACAGCATGCCCAGGTGTCACAGAGTTAGCACCCAAGGAACCTAAATCCAGACTCCTGGTCTCTTGTCTACTGAAAAAACTCCTTTTAAAGGGGCATCTGGGTGGTTCAGTCAATTAAGTGTCTGACTCTTGATCTCAGGGTTATGAGCTCGGGCTCCACATAGGGCACCATGCTGGGTGTGGAGCCTACTTAAAAAAAAAAGTTGAATTTTTTTTTCTTTTTTAGAATTTAACGACTATTCTAAGATGTCAATTATTTCCAAATAAATTAATAGATTCAACATAATCACAGAATTTTAGAGATGATCAAGGAGTGCAAAGACTACCCCCAATAACCATTTTGCTCTCCGCAGGTAAGAATTCTGAGAGTTTTAGTTTTTATTTTTTCAGTGCAGAAAGAATTCAGTATATTTATCTATTTTTTAAAATTTATATATTGTTTAATTTACATCCAAGTTAGTTAGCATATAGTGCAACAATTTCAGGAGTAGATTCCTTAAGCCCCTTACCCATTTAGCCCATCCCCCCTCCCACGACCCCTCCAGCAACCCTGTTTGTTCTCTATATTTAAGAGTCTCTTATGTTTTATCTCCATGTTTTTATTTTTGCTTCCCTTCCCTTATGTTCATCTGTTTAGTATCTTAAAATTCCTCATATGAGTGAAGTCATATGATATTTGTCTTTCTCTAATTTTGCTTAGCATAATACCCTCCAGCTCCATCCACATAGTTGCAAATGGCAAGGTTTCATTCTTTTTGATTGCCAAGTAATACTCCTTTGTAGATATATATATATATATATATATATATATATATATATATATATACCACATCTTCTTTATCCATTCATCCATCAATGGACACTAGGGCTCCTTTCATAGTTTGGCAATTATCAATAGCACTGCTATAAACATTGGGGTGCATGTGCCCCTTCGAAACAATACACATGTATCCCTTGGGCAAATACCTAGTAGTGCAATTGCTGGGTTGTAGAGTAGTTCTATTTTTAATTTTCTGAGGAACCTCCATACTGTTTTCCAGAGTGGCTGCACCAGTTTGCATTCCCATCAGCAGTGCAAAAGAGATCCTCTTTCTCTGCATCCTCACCAACATCTGTTGTTGCCTGAGTTGTTAATGTTAGCCATTCTGACAGGTGTGAGGTGGTATCTTGTGGTTTTGTATTTCCCTGATGATGAGCGATGTTGAGCATTTTTTCATGTGTTGGTTGGCCATCTGGAAGTCTTCTTTGGAAAAGTGTCTATTCATATCTTTTGCCCATTTCTTCACTGGGTTGTTTTTTGGGTGTTGACTTTGATAAGTTCTTTATAAAGTTTGGATACTAACCCTTTATCTGATATGTCGTTTGCAAATATCTTCTCCCATTCTGTCAGTTGCCTTTTAGTTTTGCTGAGTGTTTCCTTTGCTGTGCAGAAATTTTTATTTTGATGAGGTCCCAATAGTTCATTTTTGCTTTTGTTTCCTTTGCCCCTGGAGACGTGTTGAGTAAGAAGTTGCTGCAGCCAAGTCGAAAGAGGTTTTTGCCTGCTTTCTCCTTGAGGATTTTGATGGCTTCCTGTCTTACATTTAGGTCTTTCATCCATTTTGAGTTTATTTGTGTGGATGGTGTAAGAAAGTGATCCAGGATCATTTTTCTGCATGTTGCTGTCCAGTTTTCCCAGCACCATTTGCTGAAGAGTGTCTTTATTCCATTGAATATTCTTTCCTGCTTTGTCAAAGATTAGTTGACCATACGTTTGTGGGTCCATTTCTGGGTTCTCTATTCTGTTCCATTGACCTGAGTGTCTGTTTTTGTGCCAGTACTATACTGTCTTGATGATTACAACTTTGTAACACATCTTGAATATCAGGAGTGTGATTCCTCCAGCCTTTTTTTTTTTTTTTTCAAGATTGCTTTGGCTATTTGAGGTCTTTTCAGGTTCTATACAAATTTTAGGATTGTCTGTTTTAGCTTTGTGAAGAATGCTGGTGTTATTTTGATAGGGATTGCTGAATTTCTTAAAATAAATAAATAAGCTGAATTTCTTTTCCTGAATTCAGAAAGAAAGTTCTTTGTTTTCTATGTTCCCTAGTTTTCCTATTAAGATTTCATGAAATATTACATTCATACAGAAAAGTTCGGGAAATGCTACCCATATGTCCACCATTTGGGGGTCATTTTTGATACTCTGAATTTAATCATAGCTAACATTTTTCAGCTTGTTCAAAACCAGAATGGATCTGTTCCCAGACATCGAATCCGAAATCCTCTCAAGACAAACATGAGCCCATACCAGAAAAGTAAGTATTATTTTATTAATGATAATAACCATGCAATGTGCTTAGTGCATTAAATTACTGGCTCAAGGTCACTGAGATCATAAATCATAGAGCCAAGATTCAAACCAAAGTATGGCTAATACTTCATTCATTTATTTATTCAACAAGTATTTTGAGTGTCAATAGCAGGGTCTTGGTCTAGGTCCTGAGGACACAGTGAAAAATTAAACCACTGTCCCTACCCTCATGGAAGTTACCTTTTTGGTAGAAGAGCCAGTCTTTAATTTTTTTTTTTCAACGTTTATTTATTTTTGGGACAGAGAGAGACAGAGCATGAATGGGGGAGGGGCAGAGAGAGAGGGAGACACAGAATCGGAAGCAGGCTCCAGGCTCTGAGCCATCAGCCCAGAGCCTGACGCGGGGCTCGAACTCACGGACTGCGAGATCGTGACCTGGCTGAAGCCGGATGCTTAACCGACTGCACCACCCAGGCGCCCTGAAGAGCCAGTCTTTTAAGTGCCACAAAGGGGGTGTACAGAGTGCTATTACCTAATTTGGGGGTTCAGGGAAGCTGAACACCAAAGGATAAGTGCGAATCAACTAGCAAAGGGATGTGGAGGTAAGAGGGCATCTAGTCTATGAAGGCTTCCTGGAGCCGAAAGGCCCCTTGGCAAGTTCAGGAACAGTGTAGTGCGAGGGGCTGTGGGGCAAGATGGGGCTGGCAAGGGGAAG